ACTATTGTAGCCCAGGCTGGTCTCAAACTCACAGTGATCCTCCTGCCTCAGCCTCCCTCCCGAGTGCTGGCATTACAGGCGTGCGCCACCACACCCGGCTTTTTTTTTGGTACAGGGATCAACTCAGTACCTTGCATTTGCAGAGCAGGCCGTAGCACCACTGAGCTAAATCCCCAGCCCCAATGCACATTTTTTTTGGACAGTTAGATTTTATAGGCAGCTTAGTTGACTCTAACAGTTCTTTCCAACCAGGACGTTGAGACATTTTTGGTGTTTAGTCTCATCCTTCTGTGTTCCATATTTGCCCTCCAGGTTTTAGGAACAGTGTGGCTTTCCAGATATCCTGTCCTGTAGTTTTTTTAATAGATAAGTCTATTGTGGTCTGTGGTCCATGTCCTGTCTATCCCCATGGCTATCCCCCCATGTCCCGTCCCTGTCCCCTGTCCCATGTGTCCCCTTCCCCCTGTGAATGAGCACTATACTGTTCTTTGCAAATGTGAGACAAGCAGACCTTTCACAACAGAAAGCAAAACAGCCTGGTCTTTACTGAAAGGGAGCCAGCTTCATTGGTTTGAGTTGACAGAAGTGGACAGCTATATTTACTTTGTCAGGCAGTGACATTTAAGAAGTGTATTCCTTTACATGGGTGGCAGAAGTGTGACAGAAGGCACTGTAGTCAAACACAACTTGGAGCAGCCCCCAAACTACAGGCTCTAGAGCCATCATTTTGCCACCATACTCTTTCTTTTACCTTTCCCAGATCTTCCACCTCCTTTCCCAACCCTCAGCCAAATTTAGAAGGTTTTGCTGCTCAGATGAGATCCCTAAGGTTTCCTTTTTATTTTATTTTTATAGTACTTGTACTGCACTGTGCAGAAATGGTGCTGGTCATTACTCTCTCCTTCCACTTAACTTTTCCGAGATGAACTCCGAAAGTGACCATGACTTTCCAGGACCCTCTTTCCTGCTCAGAATCCCATGTCTCCATGATCCATTCCTCCAGCACCATTTCTGCCCACTGGTTACTCTCAGACAGGACTTGTCTTTCCCTGGCTTAACATCCATACTTTGCACTCTTGCCTTCCCTGCCCAGATGAGGCCTTGAAATTTAGAAGGCTCAACAGTTTGCTTCAGAGTCTGGTCCTTGTCTTATTTAGCTGTGTACCCTGGCTCTGGGTGACTTTCTGGATTAGAGGCTGGCAAACTTTCTTTTTGGTAAAGAGCCAGAGTAGCTGAGTGCATGGTGTATGCCATTTGGGAAGCTGAAGCAGGAGGATTGCAAGTTTAGGCCTTCCTGGTCAACTTAGTAAGATCCTATCTTGAATAAAAGTTTGAAAAAAGAGCTGGGGAGTGTAGCTTAGTGCTCACTGGATAAATCTTCATTCTGGGAAAGGGTGTGTGTTTTAGGCCTCCAGAGGCACAAATGGCCTCTGACTTCTCTTCATCTCCTCTTCCTTCTCCACCCCTCTGAAAATATTACTCCTGGCTAGCTGGTTGTACCACACAGGCTGTGGCTCAGATGTGATGTACGGGTCATAGTTTATCAGTATCTGTCCCAGATTTTTACTACTCGGTAGTGTGAACACCTCCTGGGGGCTTGTTAGAAACCAAATCCCAAGCTCTGCTCCACACTACAGAATCAGAGTCTGTGTGTTAGCAAAATTCCCATGAGTCACATACACATTAAACTTTTTTTTTTTTTTTTTTTTTTTTTTGGTTTTTTGAGACAGGGTCTCACTGTGTAGTTGAGACTGACCTGGAACTCACTGTGTAGCCCATGCTGGTCTCGAACACATAGCGATCCTCCTGCCTCAGCCTCCCGAGTGCTGTGATTACAGACGTGCACCACCATGCCTGGCATACATTAAACTTTGAAAGGTACTAGTCTTTGAAAAACACCATGGAGCCAGAGATGTAGCTCAGTGGCACCATGGCTGCCTGGCAAGTGCAAGATCCTGAGTTCAATTCCCAGTACCAGAAAACAAATAAATCATCACCTGCTGCCAGCTATGGTGGCACATCCCTGTAATGTCAGCACCCAGAAGGCTGAGGCACGAAGATCACAAGTTCAAGGCCATCATGGGCACATAGTATATTTGAGACTAACCTGGACTGTATAGTGATACTCTACCTCAAAACAATAATAATAACGGGCTGGGGATTTAGCTCAGTGGTTCTGCCACCTGCCTGGCAAACTCAGGGTCCCAAGTTAGATCCCCAGGCTTCTCCAAGAATCGCCTAGTTCACACTGAACTAAACATTTTACTGACGTTTCCATTTGGAGGCTTTCTGGGTGCCTCGCAAGTGAAATGTGTGGATACAGTGGGTCCCTTATTCAGAAGGACTTGCCACTTATTAAATAGGGGCAGCTGTTCTGCCGTTCTGGGCCCTATGGTTGATATAGTAGCTTCAGAGTTAAGTATGATGCTATCTTTGCCCCTTGGCATGTTTGGTGTAGTGGCAGGAGAGACAGAAGTTACAAAAAGAGGAGGGTTTGATCATTGCCTGGCTGTAGGGGCAGTGGTCTTTGAAGGTGGGAGCCAAGTTAGACCCATTTCCAAACCCCAGCAGCCACTCAAGGTATGCCACAGAAAGTGCTGAAGAATGAATCTACCTTTTCCCAGGGACCAGGCGTTCTACAGCCACAAGATGTCAGTGTTGCCAAAGTGTGCCTGTAACTGGTTCCTCGGAGCTCTTCTGGCCTAGTCAGAGCCTTGTGAGGCCGCTGTGTCCTTCCTGTCTCAGAATAAGTTTAACGCTGCCCAGGCGAGGCAGTTGCTGCGGCGTCAGTCCTCTGTGACTCTTGCACAGTTGCTGCCTTGGTTATTTTTGCTGCCTAGAATTTTTTGACTGTTTGGGTTTTTTCCAGAATATTCCTTGCCTAGAGGAGTTTCTCACCCCTTATTTCTGAGCTGGCTGCTCCAGCATAGATCTTGTGCTCAGCTTTTTTTTTTTTTTTTTTTTTTTTTTTTTTTTTTTTTT